TTAGATGATTTACTACCATTTTTTCTTGCTTTTTGAGATAGGCCTGTAGAGCTATAAACTTCCCTCTCAGGACTGCTTTCATTGCGTCCCATAGGTTTTGGATTGTTGTGTTTTCATTGTCATTAGTTTCCAGGATGCTTTTAATTTCTTCTTTGATCTCATTGGTAACCCAATCAATATTTAATAACATGCTATTCAGCTTCCAAGTGTTTGAGTATTTTGGGTTGTTTTTTTTTGTAGTTCATTTCTAACATTATGCCATCGTGGTCTGAGAAGATGCTTTTTATGATTTCAATCTTCTTGAATTTGTGGAGACTTTGCTTGTGACCCAATATGTGGTCTATTTTTGAATATGTCCCATGAGCACCTGAGACGAATGTATATTCCATGGCTTTGGGGTGAAGTGTTCTGAAGATGTCAATTAAGTCCATCTGATCTAGTGAGTCATTTAGGATTGCTGTTTCTTTGCTGATTGTTTGTCTAGCGGATTTATCCAGTGATGTCAGTGGTGTATTAAAGTCCCCTACTATGATTGTATTGTTGTCGATCTCTCCCCTGATATCTTCCAGAAGTTTTCTTATGTATGTGGGTGCTCCTGCATTGGGTGCATATATGTTTATCAGGGTTATATCCTCTTGTTGTATTGATCCCTTTAGCATTATGAAGTGGCCTTCCTTATCTGTGGTTATGGCCTTCACTTTGAGATGTATTTTGTCCGATATAAGTATTGCTACCCCAGCTTTCTTTTCCTTTCCATTTGCCTGAAAGATATTCTTCCATCCCTTCACTTTCAGTCTGTGTGAGTCCCTTCTTCTGAGGTGGGTCTCTTGTAGACAGCAGATGTATGAGTCATGTTTTTTTATCCATTCAGCCACTCGATGTCTTTTGGTTGGAGCATTTAGTCCGTTTACGTTTAAAATTATTATTGAAAGGTACTTGCTTGTAGCCATTTCTTTTTTTGTGTGTGGCTGTTTTCTTTCTGAGCTTTTTATTTCTTCTTTTTACACCAGTCCCTTTAGCATTTCTTGTATGGCTGGCTTGGTGGTGATATACTCCCTTAGCCTTTTTTTGTCTGTGAAGCTTCTTATTTCCCCTTCAATTTTGAATGATAGCCTTGCTGGATAGAGTATTCTTGGATTCAGTCCTTTGCTTTGCATTACTTTGTAGATTTCCGTCCATTCTTTTCTGGCCTGATGTGTTTCTGTTGAGAAATCATTTGATAATCTAATGGGAGATCCCTTATATGTAACTTTCCGTCTCTCTCTTGCAGCCTGTAGGATTCTCTCTTTGTCCTGAACATTTGCCATGGTAATTATGATGTGTCTTGGTGTGGGTCTTTTTGGGTTCACCTTGTTTGGGACTCTCTGGGCTTGTGTGACTTTTTTCTTCCCCACCTCAGGGAAGTTTTCTGATATTATTTCTTCGAATAGGTTTTCTAATCCATGTTCATCTTTCTGTTGTTCTGGCACCCCTATTATTCGTATGTTGTTTCGTTTCATGTTGTCCCAAAGCTCCCTTAGGCTCTCCTCCTGTCTTTTAATTTTTTTCTCCATTTGCAGTACAGTTTGAGTGTGTTTTGCTTCCTTGTCTTCTAATTCACTAATTCGGTCCTCCGCTTCTCCCAGTCTACTGTTGATACTTTCAATGGAGTTTTTTATTGAAGCTATGTCGCTCTTCATTTCTTCTTGGGACTTACTTAAGTTGTTGATTTTTTCATCTGTTTCTTCTAGCTTCTTGCATAAGTAGTTGAGTTTTTCATCTGTTTCTTCTTGCTTCTTGAACATCTGGTGCATGTACTCTAGGAACCTTATTCTGAATTCTTTTTCCGTCATGTTGCATATCTCTGTCTCACTTAGCTGCTTTTCTGGCGAGTCCTCCTTTTCTTTCCTTTGGGGGTTTCTTTGCCTACCCATGTTTGATCTCGCTGACATATGTAGATGTTGAGATGTTCAGTGGCTGCTCCCTGGGTGGCAGGGGCTCCTTGGGTTGTGGTTGCTGCTCAGACAGTTGCGGTAGCAGCTGCTTTCCAGTTGGCAGCAGCTCCTCTGGTGGGTGTTGTTCACAGCTGTGTTGGCTCTTCTGGCTGGTGGGGGGAGGCTTCACGTACAGCTGCTGTTCCACAGACAGAGGGTGTGGTGATCAGGAGGCTGTGGTGATCAGGAGGCTGCGGTGATCAGGGGGCTGCTGTTGCTTGGATCTGCTGCGTTGATTTAAAGGCACAAAATACAACAGAGCAAGGCACAACGTACCAGGCACTGAACACAAGTATATTCACAATATTAATAACCCCAAATAAAGGTGACCACCCGAATTAAGAGAATTAGGGGATAAGGGAGAAAGAAGAGAAGAAGATAAAAGAGAGAACAGAAAAGAAAAATAAGAAAAAAACAAACAAAAAAGGAGTGCAAAAATAGAATTGGGAAAAAAGAGGGGGGAAAAAAAGAGAGCGAAAAAAGAGAATGAAGTAGAAGCGGGGAAGAGACTATTTGTATGAGGAGCAAACTCCAATAGAACTGCCACTAATCTCAACAAATTCCAGCAACAGATCCCTGGAGATGAATGCAAACTACAAACCACCAATAATATCAAGAGGGGTAAGGGAAAACAGAAGCACAAAAATAACCGGGGTGGGGTGGGGGAGGGAAGAGAAAAACCAGCAGAAAAAAAAAAGAAAAAGAAAAAGAAAAACAACCTCACAACCAGTCCTAAAAAAGAAGAAGAAAAAACACAAAACAAAAAAAAAATAAATAAAAAAAAAACAAAGCCCAATATATTCAACAATCAAGAAAACAATAGAAAGATAAGAGAAAAAAAATGTTTGGAAAGTGAAGAAGGATAAAGAATAGGTATATAAGGATTTAGAGCAGTAGATTGGAAATAGGATATATAAGTAGGGTGGAATTAGACAGGGGGTAAAAAGAAGGAATTGGGAAAATCTGAAGCAGGAATAGGGTAAGAGAAACAGGACACCAAAAGGGGAAAAGTAAGGAAGAGGGTTTTAGCAAAGAGGTGAAATTGAGATAGGGAAAATTAATGCTAAAGGAACGATGAAAATAGAATGGAGAACACTAATCCCAAAAGAAAATAAAGAGAAAATAAAATGGCACTTTAAAAAATGGTAAAATGGTAGCAGTAATAATACTGGTTAAAAATAAAAATGTGGTAATTGAAAGGGTAAGATCAGGTGATGGAAAAAGAAGAAAAAGAAAAAAAAATGGTTTCTTAGTAAAAAGGCGAAAAAATAAAAAAAATAAAAAAGAAAAAGAAATTTGCAGTAGTGATGGTCTTTCGGTTCTTCTACTCTTCAGCCTGGTTCGCCTTAGTCCTGCCAGGTATTTAGGAGAGTGTTGAATTTCCCTGCATTACACTGTTCCTCCGTGTTGTAAATCACAGTCCTGATTTTAAAGCAGGCCGTATTTGTGATCCAGTCTGCCTTAATTTGTATTCCCCTAAGAGTCAGTTTGTGGCTCAGCCTCTGGGTGGCAGTGTTTTTGGGTTGGCCTCCGAGGCTATACAGCTTCTCTATCCTTTTTTAATCCTTACCCTGCTCTGTGTTGTTGGTGGGACTCTCTCCTGGGTTCTGACCTCCTGCCCAAGGAGCCCAGCCAGCCAGCTGCCCCCATGGTTTCTCTGGGCGGTCTGAGGGGAAGGGAACTGTAACACGGACGGCACATGCTGGACTCCAGGACTGTGCCAGGTGGCAAGCGTTACCTCAGTTGGAGGTAACGTTCCTGAAAGCCACCCGGGGTGGCATCGACCCCACAGGTACTCTAAGCACACAGTCAGTGCTTGGCCAGACTCCCTCCTGGGAGCTTAGCGGCGGCCTCAGCGGAGCTTGGCTCTGTGTTGGCAGGATCCCAGCCGCGGGAGTGCCGGCCCCCTGGCGAGGGAGCGGGACTCCTCCCTGGGTGGGTGCCTTGCTCCTGCACCTGTCCAGGTGTCTGCGGCCCCTGCAGGGGGAGCCTCGGGGGGGGGGGGCAGGCACTCCCATTCCCGCTGACGCAGCCCTTTGCAACCACCACCGTCACCTTAGCAAAGCGCCAGGGCAGTGGTGGCCCGGGGCCTAACTCCCAAACTGCATTTCTGCTCTGGGAGAGGAACGAGTGGAACATGCTCGATTCGAACAGTAGGTTTCTGGGCACTTGCTTCTGAGGGGCCGTTGCCTGCAGTAGAAACTCCTGCTCGAGAGGCACTTAGTCCTGCCGCTTCTCCTACCCAAGTCCTTGCAAGTCGGAGAACAGAGGTCAAGGACTGAGCACCAGGTCAGTGTGGGCCTGGCTGCTCGGAGGCTGGGGAGGGTTCTCAGGCCTCCCTGGTCTTGGCTCTGCCCTCCTCGCGGCGCCTCCCTGCCTCATGTGTAGCCTAGCGCTGGTGGGCTTGGGAGAGCGACCATGAGCTGAAGGTGCGGCCCAGGCACACCATGTGCCCACCCGCCCGGGAGCCCGGCGCCCTGGCCAAAGATTTGGGTCTGGAAGCCGACTCTCGACTTGCAAACTTTGACCTGAACCAAATGCGCTGGTTTCACTGTTTTGGGACAGTCGGAGGCAGCTTCCTGTAAATGGCCCAGCAGCCCAAGGATACGGGCAGATGGGGAAGCTCAGCCGTTCGTTTTCAAAGGGTCTGCAGAATCCAGCCCGTATTTCTGTTCTAATGGCTATGAGCTGATTTTCCACGCTTTGGAGTGACGCTAGTACTGACTCATGGAGACAGCCCTTCCCACTGGGTCCATCCTGGAGAGGGCGGGAGGCTGCCCCGGGAGCAGCTCAGAGGTTAGACACGGCTCCTCGTTTCGTGTTGATGGAGAACCCAGCACGAGAGGGAGAGGACGATAATGTCGAGGACTGTCTGTGAAGGCTGCATCCTTATAGTTTTAAATTCTGTGCGTGGACACAGCAGTATCTCCAGCCACTTCGAGGCCTCGTCACGCCCCTGCGACCTGCCGGTGTGCATTGCTCCTGCCGCGCTCGCCACAGGCTGGTGTCCCTGCTGTTTCCCTGCAGAGCCGAGATGGCCGTCCTCTCCAAGGAGTACGGGTTCGTGGTCCTGACCGGGGCCGCCAGCTTCATCATGGTAGCGCATCTCGCCATCAACGTCTCCAAGGCCCGCAAGAAGTACAAGGTGGAGGTGAGTGGGAACACGTGGTCTGGGCGAGAACTTGTTTCCCGTCCTGGAGGGGGAGGTGAGGCGAGGCGAGGCGAGGCGAGGCGAGGGCGAGGGCGAGGGCGAGGCGAGTGGTCAGTGGCGGCAGCGTGAGGACTGGACCTTGTAGAAAGGCTGCCCCTTCCCGGCAGGAAGAAGGCAGGAAATGCGGGCGCTGCGGGGGGCTGGTTTCACGGCTCCTGCAGAAAGGCCAGGTGGGCGGCCAGGGGACAGCCTGCTGGGCCGGAGCTGCTCGCCAGGAAGGGGGATGCTTCTGCGGAGGGTTCAAAGGCAGTGCTGTTCCCGACGTGGCGCCCCCAGGCCACTGTCCTGTTTCCATGCAGAGCGTGGGTGGTGCTGCTGTGCACTGGCCTGAGCTGCCGGACTGGCGAGAGCCCATCAGATCCCCGTTCCTTCTGGCTGGTCCAGAGGATGCCGCTGCCGTTGGCCTGGGAGCGGTTCTAGGTGTCTTTCTGTTTAGTGACTTATCGTTGACTCGAGCTGCTTCTAAGTGCTCTTACTAGTCCCTAGTTCCTTTCCTTTTCTTAATGGAGTGCCCGTCAAAACCTCTCCTCTGTTTCTGCTGCCCCTGTCGGGACCCTCGGGAGCTGTGGGAGGGTCTTCCCTGTGGTGTCTGCGATGTGTCAGAAACCCGGCCGCGATGGCCGTGGCTCAGCTGCCTCCGTCCCTGACCCCTGGGTATTAACAGCCCGAGTGACTGCCTCTGAGGACCCAGCCCCGGTCACTGTAGACAATTAAGCCGACATAGAAGCTTGGGCTAGATTAGCGTCCAGGTTCACTGTCCTGACCATCTGATCAGCAAGCCCTCTGTGTCCGCAGTATCCCACCATGTACAGCACGGACCCTGAAAACGGGCACCTCTTCAACTGCATCCAGCGAGCCCACCAGAACACGTGAGTGTGGCCTCGGCACCAGACGCCGGGAGGGGCGCCTCTGTCCCGCCCCCGCCCGTAGCGCCCTGTCTGAGAGAGCGACGGTGGGGATCACGGGCACTCATTAAAAGTATCAGTTAAAAACCTGTAAGTGAGCAGACTGGACAGTAAGCACAAGAAACAGCTGGAATGGTGGTGTCCTGAGTGACCCTCCAAGGCTGTCTCCGTGCCGCACCCCCCGCAGGAGGGGTAGCCACCGCTCTAGGCGACACCGAGTCCCCCAGCCCAGGGAGCGAGGGCTCTGCGCTCTGCAGGGAAACCCGCAGAGCCCCTCGCGGCTGGGCAGACGGCGCCCCCGCTCCTGTTCCTCGTCCCCTCTGCCCGAGGCGGGCGGTGGCTGGTCTCCCTCCTCAGTGTTTATAAGAGCCCCTCCGCACTGACTGGGGGCACTTTCTAAAAGTGTCTTTCTGTCTCTTGCAGGTTGGAAGTGTACCCTCCCTTCTTATTTTTCCTCGCGGTGGGAGGTGTGTACCACCCGGTGAGTTGTTCCAGGTGTCATCTGGGATCCGACGTATTTCCTCCAGGCCCTGCGTATTTACTTAAAAGGATTTCATTCAGTTACTGCTAACAGAGTTTTTGTGGTTTTGGTTTTTTAAATATATTCTTATTGATTTCAGAGAGGAAGGGAGAGGGAGAGAGAGAGAGGAACATAGATGATGAGAGAGGATCATTGATCGGCTGCCTCCTGCACGCCCCCTACTGGGGATGGAGCCCACAACCTGGGCATGTGCCCTGACTGGAATCGAACTAGTGACCTCTTGGTTCCTGGGTGGATGCTCATCCACTGAGCCACGCCCGGCTGGGCAGAACCCTGTGTGTTTTTTTAATCTTTATTGTTGAAAGTGTTAGATATGTCCCCTTTCTCCCCATCGACCCTCTTCAGCCCACCCCGCCCCCGCCCCAGACCTTCACCACCCCATTGTCTGTGTGAACAGAGTTCTTTAAAGCAGGCAGATTTTCCGTTGTGGGTTTTTCACAGATGAGGGGAAACATCATGGATACTGTGTAACCTTCTCAAAGTCAATTAGCTACAGGATAGAAGAGTCAGAATTTGAACCAGGTCTGACTCTGTTTTACTTTGCATATTCATCCATTCTTGCAACAAGCACTCACTGGTCGCCCGAGGTGACGGCGGTGAACCAACCAGCTGCCTGGTCTCAGGGACCTGACTGTAGGCACCTGAGTGTATGACGTGGCCCGTTAGGGGGTGATGGGCCTCGGAGGCCACGGTAGCCCTGGGGGCCGTGGGGGTGGTCTGCCCTCTACCTTGTGTAAATCAAGCCCGTTTCCTGAGCCCGATTACTTGCCTTTTGGTCCTGCCTTGGCCAGAAAGTGTCCTCTTACCCGCGTCCTGACTGAGGACAGGCGTTTCCCCTTCTGGGACTGGGCCTCCACAGCCCTCGGTCCACACCAGCGGCCAGAATAGCATGTCTGCAGTTCATGACACGAGTGAAATTATTAACTTTTTGCTAAAACATTGTGTGGTCAACAATGTTAATACAGCTTACAGCTCTGCCTATTCCTTGAATGCAAACACTAACATGTCCCTCCCCCACCCCTTTCTTTAGCGAGTCGTTTCGGGCTTGGGCTTGGCCTGGATCGTGGGACGAGTTCTCTATGCCTACGGCTACTACACAGGCGGTAAGGCCACGCGGACTCCCGCCAGGGAAGCAGAGTGCAAACCTGAGGCTGCTACGTCTCCCTTCTTAGCAGGGCTTTAAGGAAAGGGGGTGGAACTGGAGGTTTAGGTGAAACGTCCGTTACCGTCTTTCTTTTTACTCACCTTTGAATAGTAACAAAACTTGCCTTTATCGAGCATTTTCTGTGTCCATTGCTGCTCTAAGAACTTTGCATCTCGCTATTTCAAAACATCCGACAATTCTGTGATGTAGGTAATAGCATCTTCTTTCACAGATGGGGAAACTGAGGCTTAGAAAGATGAAGGCTCTCTCTACGTCACAGAGCTACTGGGTGGAAACTATAAGCCAGGACTCGGAGCCAGGCAGTGTGACTCCGGGCCCTGCTCCTCACGCCTGGGGGCCGGCAGACAGAGGGGAGAGGGCTCCTGCTGCCCTTGCGTCTTTAAAGGAGAGGGCGGCATGGCCCGGGTCCGGGCCTCGCAGTTCCCATGACTGTGCTGTAACTTCCTGAGGCCCAAGCAGCCCTGGCGTGACGCCTGGCGTGGCAGAAGGTGGGCTGACCTCTCTGACCAGGCGGTCTGCCGCCCGGAGGGCAGGGCTTGCGGACGCTGATGGTGACCCTGTGGAGCTGCCCGTAACTTCTCCTTCTCCCCCTTCTCTTCCAGAGCCCAGCAAGCGGAGCAGGGGGGCCCTGGGCTCCATCGCCCTCCTCGGCCTGATGGGCACCACTGTGTGCTCCGCCTTCCAGCACCTCGGTTGGGTTAAAACCGGCTTGGGCGGTGGGTCCAAGTGCTGCCATTAAGGGTGGGCAGGGTGTTAAAAACTCTCATTCATTTTGAATGACTTACTTTTATTTCCAGTTACTTTTTTTTTCTAAATATAATAAAATTTATCTGGCACCAGCCTCCTAAGTAACCCTGACTCTGTGACTTATTTTCTGTTGAGTCTTTATGTAAATAAGCGGCCTGCTCCTACTCCTGCCCCCCCCCACCCCCTGCTGGCACCCTGCCCCCTGCTGGTACCCTGCCCCCTACCCCTGGCCCCTGCCCCCTGCCCCCTGCCCCCTGCTGGCACCCTGCCCCCTGCTGGCACCCTTGGCAGCTGTGAAAACTGGGCTCAGAGAGGAAGGGTGCAGTTGAAGAGGTGCCCGTTTTCAGGGTCCGTGCTGTACGTGGTGGGATACTGCGGACACAGAGAGCTTAATGATCAGATGGTCAAGGCAGTTAGGCTGTGGTTAGGATCTGAGATTACAGCTACGTAGGATAACAATGAGAATTCTTCAGCATCTCTACTGAAGGCAGGCAGAGGGCTCATGTGGTTGAGAATCGTCCTGTGCACTGAGGGTTTGATGGTTCGATACCCAGTCAGGGCTAGGTTTTGGGTTTGGTCCTTGGTTGGGATGAGTACAGAGGCAACCAATAGATGTTTCTCTTTCTCCCCCCCAGACCAGCTAAGTCAGACCTCAGTGGTTTTACGGCTTCTCTGGCCATTCTAACGTGTGGCAGAAGTTGAAACCCTGGTTCCACAAGCCTGGTGAACAAACATCAGGGAGTCACCTGCCAAAATGCAGCTTCTGAGCCCCAGGTCTGTGGCGGGAGCTGCAGCTCCGCAGGTCCCTGGGCCGCTGAGGGGCCTGTCCCCCAGCCCTTCAGTCCATCACAGACCGAGTCCCCTCTGAGCCCAGGGACAGGCAGTTCCGGCTCTTTGGGGGCCCGCAGGAGTCTAGATCTTCCTCTAACCGCCATGGGCGTGGTGATTTCTGACTTACTTGGAAAGACCACTCCCGCTCCCGCGGACTGATCTCTGCTAGTTTTCACAGCGCAGCGACACAGCAGATGCCTGGTCTCCTTTATGCCCTTTGCGGACACACACACACACACACACACACACACACACCCTGAAAAGAAAAACAAAGAGAGGGCTTGGCTAGAAGAAAAGCCAAGGAATCGTGTTATTCCAGGGAGAGCCCAGCTCAGCACCAGGGTCAGAGGCCGGTGGGTTCTGCTTTGGGAGAAGCGGGAGGACGCAGCTGCGCCTTCTCTGCGAGGCCTGGGCACGCATTCTGCCAGACCCTTGCTGGGGCCGCCAGAGGGCCACGGGCCTGAAGTGAAGGGCAGCCGGAGAGGGGCCGGCGGCGACCTCTGCCCAGGGGAGAGCCGCCCCTCTCCATCTGCAGGTCCCTGAAGAGCCACATAAGATCAGGGCCCTCCGAGCTGGCAAGGAGGGTGCCAACATGAGGCATTTGTTTGTTTCCTGCATTAATACAATCCCCCAAACGCCCTCTGTAAACACCTCCAGCCCAGGAATCCGCCAACCAAAGACAACTTACAATGCATCTCCAGGCCCCGAGTCGGACCCATTTGTACGTGGCCTCATCCCAGTCCTGGGTTAGTTGGCAGTTATTCCCTCCAACACGATCCCAGGAGAAGCAGCTCCCTCGGGGGTGAGGTCCGCTGCGGAGGGAGGGGGCCTCTGCTTCTCACCGTGCTGCCCGCTCTCAAGACAACTCATGTTTCCGTGTCAAACGTTGCTGGCCGGTCATGAGAAAACTTGAGTCTGCACTCACATTAAGTAATTTTAAAACTACGCATTGCTCTCAGGCCTTAAAGTTACTTAATGTAAGTGCAGACATGAGTTGTCTCGCAACCAGTCAGCAAGGTGTTGACTCTCAAAAGGAAAAGTAATAGAAGAAAAAAAAGACTCTGGGGAAATGGGCACATCCCACAAATTCTCCAGGTGAGAGGGGGCGGCTCCAGGATCAGCCCGTGTATCCTTGGTGGGGCCCATGGGCGTGAGTCACTCCTCTCGGAAGGTGTTTCCTCAACCACAAGGTGTCTGTTCAGGGAAATCTGTCAAACGGGACAGCGGACAGCCCCCCGGAACACACTGTGCTGTGTGGCCGGCTGAGTAACGCTCCCCCCGTGTGGCCAAGTCTCGTCCCCAGAACCTGTGCATGTCCCCGTACGTGGCAGAGACCTTGCAAAGACAAACAAGGATCTTGAGAGGAGAGATAGGGACCGTCTGGATGGGCCCCAATCACAGTGTCCCTGGAAGAGGAAGGCGGTCGGAGCAGAGAGGACGGAGGATGCTCAGCTGTGGGCTGTGAAGAGAGGAGGCCGGGAGCCAAGCGAGGCAAAAAGTTACTGAGGGCTGGAGGGGGCGAGGGAGCCCATGACCTCCAGAGCCTCGGGGGGAGCGTGGCACCAACACCCTGGCTGTGCCCCTGAAGCCATTTCCAACGTCGACCCCAGAGCTGGGAGATCATGGATGTGAGTGGAAACGTGAAGAGGAGTCGTAGGAAACTAATCCACTGAGTTCAGTCTGGGGATGGGGAAGGGGAGCGGGAGGTGCAAATCAGCTCACGCGCTGGCCTTGTCCTGCTCCTTTCGTCCTGATCCTCACGACCTGGCCTGTGCAGGACCCCCCTCTCCCAGGAGTGAGGGCTGAGTGGAAGGTGCGGCAGCGGGAACACAGTGAGTTCAGACGTCGGCCCCTCCCCCTGCTCACTTGTCATCCCAGGCAGCTCCGCCTATGTAAGCCACAGGGGGTCCCCCAGACACGCTGAGACCATTCTGCTGGCCGTGCCATGCACCCCACGTGCCCGCTGTGCAAACACCGAGGGGCTGATCCCCGGTCCCATCCTCTAGGCACGCACCTGCCATCAGAGCTCATAGGCCCACGCAGGCCTCTGGCTGCTAGGCTAGCTGTCTGTCCCGTGGGCTAATTCTCCATGTCAGCCTGACGGTGTTGGCCTGACTGGGCTCAGGGATGCCAGGTGGCTGGTGAAACACGATTTCCAGGTGTGTCTGGGAGGTGTTTCCAGAAGAGGTAAGTGTCTGAATTGGCGGCCTAGGTAAGCAGAGGGTCCTCCCAACGTCCAGTCCTTGCAGAGGGCGAGCTCGCTGTCTGCCTGCGTGGGCCACCCACCTCCACCTGGGACATCAGCTCCAGTTCTCGGCTCGGCCTGACTTACCCCACCCCCTCCTGCTCTCAGCCCGGGACTCACACTGACCTACACCTCCAGCTCCCCGGTCCAACCTGCAGGCGGCAGGTGCTGGGCCCTCTCGGCTCCAGTCACGCGAGCCCTTCCTACAGTCACCTCCTCTTACACAAGTCGATGGAACTATCCCACTGGTTCTGTTTCTCTGGGAAGCACTAATACAGCTGGTAGCTGGTAGCCATTCCCCTGAAAGGTAGCGGTGCCAGAGGCTAAAGCCAACGGCAGTTAGCATATTAATGCATAAAGAAACATTGTAAGGCCAATGACTTTGATATTCAGCAGGGCTGAAAATCAGCCTAATATTGCCCTGCTGTGGGCTCAATGGCTCAAGGCAATTCCCTAACCTGATAATCCTTTTACTGTTTATCAAACTTTACCTTTGACCTGCCCATAGGCATTGCTAAAGGGCAAATGTGTATTCAAGTGAATAAAAGGCGGACCAGGCCAGAAAGTCGGTGCCTCTTCAAGAAAGAGGCTCCACCTGCCCCCATGCCTTCTAAATTCCTATTTCTTGTATAGCATTTTCATTTGTGCGCCGGCCCCTCCCTCAGGTCCTGAACCCTAGCCGTGCAGGTCTCAGCCAAGAGGACCCCGCAGCCTGAGGTCACCAGGACCTGACAGCTCTCCAGGGTGGGAGGCACCCAGAGCCTCGAGGCTCACAGGGCCTAGGAGCTGTTACATGCATCTCACGTCAGCCCATCCCGTGTCCTAAATGACCTTGAGAGTTGTTTCGTTTCAAAACACGACACTGGAAGGATGAACAGCGTGATTTATTTGGCTCTAGGACAAGTGCAAACAATTTGTACTTTAATGGGGAACCACTGCGTCCAGACAGCAAGCTGCAGTTCAGCAGAGGACGTGTCCTCTCCCGCGGCCCCGCAGGAACAAAACCTTTCTCTGCAGTTACCGTTCACCGCTGACCCGCCCAGTACCTAGTCCCCTCCCTTCCCGATCGTCAGCTTTCAGTAGAATGACAAGGAGCCAGAGCTTAAGGCAGCCGGGAGCCAACAGCACCTGCCGTGGGTCCACGGAACCTAAAAGGAATGCGTTCTTCCAGGCAAGCGAGACAGGCAAGCGAGAGACAGCAGAGGGCAGGGGTCGGAGGCACAGCGCTGGTCCGTCTCCAGAAGGGGTTCAGTGGTTCAGGAAGGCACAGAGTCCCCGCTGTGGGAACTCACTGCTTCTCCGTTAGAACCAAGGCACTTGTGCAAGCCTCAGGGAAGAGGCCTGAGTGACGAGAGCGACGCTGAGCCAGGCGCGGACCCACGCGAATGCGTCCAGGACGCATCGGTGCCGTGCGAGGCCTCCGCCGGTCTCACAGGCTCAGCCTGGCACGTCCATGGGGTTCAGGGCCGCCTTTCAGAAAGCGGACTCCACGTCACCCATCTCCACACACACCGTCTTCAGCTGTGAATAATGCTCAATGGTCACCCGGCCGTTCTCTCTGCCAAACCCTGCAAGGAAGACAAGGGGTGACGATGAGCCCTCACGGCACATCTGAAAGGTCACAGTGACCGCGGAGACAGGCACTGCCCTCAGGCCTGCGGAGGAACACGGAAGCAACACGTTTAAGAGAGAAAGCCCTCCCCCGGGGACACCAGCTACGAGCGGCGTGGGGAGTGGCCGGGCCAGCAAGGCCAAGACCCTGCCCGCAGCCGGGACCAGGCTCCGTGCGGAAGGGCACGTCCCCTGCTTGGCCTTTCCTGTCACCCTGCCCCAGACAGGTAGGCTCGCCTCCTAAGGACAGGCGGTCCCCAAAAGTGCACGTCTCCAGGGGGCACCATTCAGAGGTGACAGAGGCCCCCTGCTAATCCTGAGCACAGCTGGCCACCCTCCGTCTCTCCCTCATCCCGTGGGCACCACTCCAAAGCCGCAGGTCACAACCAACTTCCGCTGCACTGACGGTTACACAGTA